CACTATCTTTTCCAACTGAAAGAGAAACAACCACAAGAAGAGGATTTGTTTTCAACTGCCTATACTGTTAGGAAATGTTTTTCTTATGAGGCTAGGCACCTGTTCAGCGGGTGGGAGGTTTAAATTGGGTTGTGTGCGATGGGTTTTTGCTTGAACTCTTTATGGCTGAGGTCACAACCCCCATTTTATGTACCACCATGAAGGATTTTCCCTTGGCTGTTTGTGTCAGACCCATGGATGGCACAGAGTTGCCACTGGCTTTTTTGTCAATTGAGGGACTATCAGCTCTGAATCTGCGGGTCTGGGGGTCATTGCATGACATTGCCTGGTGGGCCACAAATTCTTTGAGAAGGGTAAAGGGAGGTACTTTGTTTCGACCATTGGCCCTGAAGGCCTCAGACAACTAGATCCATTGTTCAATTAACATTTGAGGTAGTTTTTGAACGATTTTGCTTTGTATATCGAATTGGTTAAGACAAGCAAGTCCCGGCAAGTCAGGATCCCGTTGTGCCACTCTCAGCTGTATAAGTATGTTAGAGAAGTCCCTGAACTGGCTAGGCTCATTGAGACTGATTTTAGGAAAGCTGTTGAGGCAATCCCAAGAGATAGGATTCCATTTCTGTGGGAGTGCCGTACTCTTCATCGAGTCTCTTCCATGTTAACCGAAGTGCAGCATCTGGATCTGTTAAGTGTGATCCATAAATATCTTTCACTGCTGCTGCAGACCGGAGTCCCAGCCAAGCTATCAAGTGTACAAGGACTTCATTGGGCTGCAGGCGTGCAGCCTGAATGTTGCGCATGAAAATACTCTTCCATAGAAGATATCTTTTGCCTGGCTCATCAGAAAATTTGTACACACTGTTAGGAAATCTAGCTTTCCTCTCTTTAAAGCCAATTCTCTCCAGAATGCTGGATCATCTGCTGAGGTGGCATTGGGGTTGTAGGTAAGGTGCACTGGCACAATGGTGTCTCCCTTTGGATTATCATAGACCTGGTCTGGGTTGTGTCTCAGCGACAGCTCATAGTCTTTTTCCCTGTACTTCCTGAGGAGGTTGTCCTGCCATGCCATATATGATGATTTTGCTTCACAGTGCTGGGCAGGCTGACTGCGGTTATCTTGTTATACCTCTGAGCTCGAATTGTGTCGAGGTTGTGGCAGGAACTCCACTGCCTTTGGGTTGAGCTTAGGAGTTGCCGTTTGATGTATGGCTCCTTGCTGAGAAATCTTCGCTGTTACTGGTGGGCTAATTTGCTTGCCCTGTAGGTCTTGAGATATTGGGGTAGGTTTTCTGATTTTGGGAATAGAATCTCGAGTTTTAGGTCTTACAACATCAGTTTTGTGACTGGTGTTTAGAGTCTGTGGTTGAGATTCACCCCTTCGATCCTGTGGTCTTGGGCTGACTGCTGACTAACTGTGCCGGTTCCGCCTCCCATGCTGTAGCAAGTACTGCTCATTCACATAGGCCTTGACACATTAATCTGGGCTCTCACTTCCCAATTCTGAAAGGTTGAAGTTGAGAAAGGCGTCATCGGCTACTTTCCGTAATGCTGTGGCCTATGTGCTCTTTGTTGCTGTCTCCCTTTGTCGTACAAGCAACTCCAATTTGGCTTGAGCTTTGGCCATTTCTGCCTGTTGGCTGGCCTGAGCTTTGGCCATTTCTTCTACTTGAGCTGCTACTGCCTCCTTCTGTTGTGTTACCTCCTCTGTTGCCTGTAGATCTGTGTCTGCTACTGCAGATTCTATTTGAGCTTCTGCAGCTTGTTCGGCATAACTCGCTGCTTTAGATGTGTTGCTGTAATGGGAGGATGCTCTGGAAGGATGGGAAGAGCTAGCAACAGAGAATTGCTGTGAGATGCTGGAATGTGCTTGAGATCTAGCTGGCTTGGGATGGAGGGAGGAAGCTTTCTTAGAATAGTGGAAGGAGGCCACACGTGATTGAGGGGCTATGTCGGATGTGGCCTTCTCCTTCGAAATTTCTTCCATCTGTAGCATGCCATGGAGCACTGCCTGGAGGGAGTCTTTGCCTCTCTGAACGTAGTCCTCATGTTCCTTGTTTAACTCATTGAAGCATTGTATGTGCTCTTGGAATTTGAATCACCCAGCTTCAACTGGATGGATTTGTGGTTACCTTCACTGTCTCTCCACCGTGCGAGAAGACGATCTATGTCGGTCTCCAATGAGAGTATGCTGTCGAAAGACAACTCACGTACGGGGGCATTGCAGATCTTCACCAGCTCTGACCATGAGTCTGCATGGTCTGTCAATACTGCCTGTGCCAATCCTCCCTCAAGCATGACTCCATGGGCTCGGTAAGCTTCCTATGCTGTCTGAGGTCGTAGGCTTTCTGAGGTATCGTAGCCTCTTCAGAATTTTGGACACTCGATTCTAGGTTTGGGGAACCAAGGTCTGCGTTTACATCGAGGGTGGGTAAAGTGTTCGAGTCCACTCGAGTGCATCATAGACACCTGTCATGGCTGAAGTTGCTGCCATGCTTTAAATTGGCAAAGGGTGAATTTTGGAAAATTTTGCAGTTTTCCATGCAACTCCCTTTTTTCCATGAAGGTGTGCTGCAAGAGGGTAGCTGAATTTAGGAGACTCCATTGAAATTCACTGGTTGGCCACTGGAGGGTGCACTGCAACATCTGGAAGACGTTGGTGCAGTACACAGGTTGGCCTGCTGAGTACTTGACCCTTGGGTTGCATTGCAAGGTGTTGCTGAATTTAGGAGACTCCATTAAAATTCACTGGTTGGCCACTAGAGGGAGAATTGCAAGGTCTGGAAGATGCTGGTGCAGTACACAGGTTGGCCCATTGAGTGTTTTGTACTTTGTAATTCCCTTGGGTTACATTGCAAGGGGTTGCTGAATTTAGGACATTCCTGTAAAATTCACTACTTGACCATAGATGGTGCTGCAAGTGGGTAGCTGAATTTAGGACTCTTGTGCTGCATTGCAAGAGTTTGCTGAATTTAGGAATCTCCTTTGAAATTCATTACTTGACCACAATGTGGTGCTGCGAGCTGGTAGCTGAATTTAGGAAATTCCTGTAAAATTCATTACTTGACCACGAGGGGCGCTGTGAGCTGGTTGCTGAATTGCAGGCAGTTATGCTATGAAGAATAGTCATCAAAGGATGTTATGATTTATTCTAATGTTTGGGGCAAACTATGATCAGGTGATTTCCTTTTGTTGAGTAATGTAGGCTGGTATCTTTTGGCTTGAGATTGGCTCTAATTCCAGTAAAAGGAAAAACTTCTTCAGAAGTTTTTCAGCAAAGATAAAACGACAAGCTGTGTGTAGATTTCCTCTTGGGGCAGGGGGTGTTATGGACATGGCTCGTCCTAAAGAATTTATGACTCTGTTGCCTGGAGACCACATCATAAACTGGATCAAGGTGGACCTCTTTATGGTTGTCTTTCCTCCAAGGCACAAGCAGTGAGGAATCAAAAGCAACTCCAGAGCTAGAGATAATGCAGTTTCTTTGTTTTTTAGGACACAAGAAAGGATTACTCAGTCTCTTTCAACTGCATTTTGTAAAGGGTCTGAAGACAATAACTAGAGGGCTCGCAGGGAGAGATGGAGAAGATACCGCTTGTTTGTCTCTAGCAAATGGGGGAATTTCTGGCCCCTCCTAGTAATTCAAACAGGCTTTATAACTTCAGTTGCTCAGAGAGAGAGAGAGAGAATTCAGGGTTTAAATCCTCCTTCTTTACTTTCCTAGGACATCAGATTAAAGACTTTTTCACTCTTCCTCAGGCAGTCTGATTAACTCATGAATTCACTTTGGGAATTCAGAATAATGCATATACTTTGGGAGTTCCGATTTCAGTATAATTTCACTCTTCATAGGAATTCAGATAACACATATAATTTTACTGTTCTGTCTTTTAATTACTGGCTGAATATAAAGACAGACAGGCAAATTCTACAAAGGCTTCTGTACAAAGTTTCTTTATTGGATCACAAGGTATTCTCAAGGTGTAACTCACAGTTATGTCGAGATTCATCTAATGTCCAATTCTTTGCATAGCTGACTTCATAGTGTAAAATTATAGTGATCTACATCCCATAACGATGGAGCAAAGGGTGAGACACCAGCACGGTGCTGGGGTCCAAGCAAGAATAAACCCAACCCAACCAAGGGTAAACTCGGTGACCAATCAGGATTACAGATGTGGCCAAATGACATGAACTACATTTCCCATGATGCATTAACTACATTTGCCATAAGGCATTCCCTTAAGGGGACGGCTCCCAATTCCTTCTTAACTATCCCAATTCCCAATTAACTATATACTGTCTGGATAGCACAACAACGGTGACCTGATTAGAAGTTAGAACAGAAGTAGAAATAAGAAATAGGGGAAATATTAGCAGATGTAATTTTTTATAATAGAATATAAATAATAGTTCGATGGAAAAGATTAGAGGGTGAAATATAGTATTACCAAGTATGCTTATAACATAATTGGCATTGAAATGGAACATTGAAATATTGAATAACTACTTTAAGAAACCATGAATGTTAATACTAGGATTATATAAGTTTGATTAATATAACTATTATGATTATCATTATTGATGTTTGTATGAAAATGAATTATATACCCGGGGCCACAGTGTTCATGGATTGATATTGATGTATATTTAAAAATAAAAATCTAATAAATCATTAAAAAAATCCTGCCATTCAGCCCCCATCTGAGAAAAGGTTTGCCCAATCATGGTATAAAGGAAGCATACTCACATAAATTTAAATGTGTAGGGTTCTTTTGGCAGTAATATGCAGGTAGTTTGCCATTGCCACTCCAGTTTTATAATTCATATTTGGGATTTCTTGGTGGTTTACATCCAAGAAGTAACCCGATCTGACTTCGCAATTCAAGATTGGCTTAATTAGTGTAGGTGTTGCCATTTAGCTGGATATTTATCCTTATAACTTTTTTGGTGGGGGAACCCAACCACTAACAAAATTTAAAGTGTTTCCTCTTTTTCTTTAGGCCTGTGCCCATCGCTGGAAAAATGTCTACTATGAAACTGAGTACATCCTTCCTCATGGTTTTTGCAATATCATCCCTCCCAACCTTGGGTTGAATGGTAAAAAATTAATGCCTTGCTATGAAGGTAAGGAGGCATATTTATTTTTGCTTATCTGTGCTAGTACTTGTGATTTATTTCCTTGTTACATTCCTCCTATTAATTATAGTTGTGGCAGTAAATGCATTTAAAATGCTATCATTATCCTGTAAATTAAATTATGACTGAACTACTGTCCTGATATAATATAAAAATAGAGGGCAATTTTAGTTTACTTGTGCTTTCCAGATATGTTAGTAATATATAATTGTAATTCCAAGAACATCTGGAGGCATTCAGATGAGGAAGGCTGATCATGAGAGATACTTTTGGTAGTTGTTTTGAATGCTACGGGCTGTGAAACAAGTCCATGCCCTCTCAGTGAAGAACTGCATACTAAACAGCTGCAGGCTTTTTCAGTTGTGTCTGAAATCCTTCCCATTCAATTCTGTATACAAAACCAGCTTATGCTTTATCATCAGAGAACTGCAGTCGAACCATAAGTTCTTTCTTTGGTTCTATTCATTCCCTTCCTCTTCTTCTGTTTCTCCTCATTTCCCTTGCCAGCTTGATCTCCCTGGGCCACACTATACATTTTATCAGGATTCTTGTCTTTTGCTTTTTGAATATTACTTATTTACAGATTAACGGAGTTGGAAGAAACCTTGTGGGTCATTTAGCCCAATCCCCTGCCCAAGCAGGAGACTTTACACCATTTCTGACAAATAGCAGTCCAATGTCTTCTTAAAAGTCTAAAGTGATGAAGCTTCCACAACTTCTTCAGGCAAACTATATCATTGGTTGTTTGTTCTCACTGTCAGAAAATTTCTCCTTATTTCCAGGTTGAATCTCTTCTTGTTCAGTTTTGATCCATTATTCCTTATCTGGCCTTCAGATGTTTTGGAAAATAACTTGATCCTCTCCTCTCTGTGGCAGTCCCTCAAATATTGGAACACTGCTATCATGTTTCCACGGTCCTTCTCTTTACTAGACTAACCATGCCCAGTTTCTGTAACCCTCCTTCATATGTTTTAGTCTCCAGTACCCTAATCATCCTGGTTTGTCTTCTCTGCAATTTTTCTAGAGTCTCAAAATCTTTTTTATAGTGTGGTGACCCAAACTGGATGCAAGTATGATTTTGAGAGGACCTTCTGGTTCTGGGGGGATCTGGGAAGCACAGCATGCCAGGAGGAGGCTCTATGGCAAGGGGCAGGTTTTCTTGTTGGCTCCACAATTGATAGGGCTTATGACAAGTAGAGGAAAAAGATGCTGCGCTAGGAGGAGACTCTATGGTGGGGGAACCAGATTTCTGGTCAGCTCCAGAATTGAACAGGGGGCTTCCAGTTAGGACTTTTGTGACTCTTTGAATATTTAAGGTTGCCAACCCCTGTTCTAGGGTGTTAGCTATTCCTGCCAGCTTAGTATTGTCATCTACAAATTTGGTAAGTTCCCCTTCTATTCCCTCATCTAAATCATATATGAAGATATTGAAGAGTACTGGGCCTAAGACAGGACCTTGTAGTACCCTACTGCTTACTTCCCTCTATGTAGACTTAGACCTATTGAAGACTAACTCATTGAATATGGTTTGTCAGCCAGTTGCGAATCCATCTGGTTGTGCTGCTATCTATCCCACTTTTTTCTAGTTTACTGTCTAATTAATGTAATATACCTTGCTGGTAACATACTAACAAAAGAATAATCATTTGTACTCCATCTTATCAATTGTATTTTTAATGAAATTTATGTGTAGCCCATCTCATGGTTCTAAGTGACTCTTGACTCTTGCATTATGTACTTCATAATGCAAGATACCTAATAGGTTATATAAGGAAGATGGGTGTCTGCTAAATTAACAAATTAGAAAAATATTCTGGAATATACTTTCTGGGATATTTGGATTGTTAAGTATGTTTTATTTTCTTCCTTTTGGGGGAAGTTAAAAATTGAAGAGAACATTGAAATGAATTGATTCCTCCCAGTCTCCTGAGTGTCAAGACATAAGTCTAGTTTGGAAAAAAAAGATATCTATTATAGACTGGATTGCATTAACTCTAACTGTTGTTTGTTTGGATTTAGCTTATCCTGATGTATATATCCTATCGTCATGCTCATGTAATTTATGGCATAGTGTGATGTATAACTCCTTTTGAACAGCATTTAACAAATCATGATTTAGTGCAACAGGAAAAATCGCTCCCCCCACAAATGTCTTCATCATTTCTTCTTTTCCTATGTAGTCAGAGCTGGAGGTCCTATGAAAAAAATCTTGTTCCTTATGACAGGAAATAAAACTGATATCTGTTTTTTGATAGATAGCTTAGGTGTGATTATATCTTTAATGCGATGTGATTTTCCAGTGATTGCTTCTTGTCCAAATCCAGAATGTGATCTGAGACAGTGATGAAATAAAAGGCTTCAGATTTTTTTTTGGCAAGAACTGAGTTATATTGGATTTTGCAATTGGTAATTGATGTCACACATTACATCAATCATAAATTAACCTTTTTTTCTTTAAACATGCCAGTTAGTTAAACTAGAAAAGGTGGGGGGGGGCAGAAACCCTTTGCTTGGAATTTGTAACCTTTTATATTTTTGATCATTAGCAAACTGTTCACAGATAACTGTTTGAAATATAATTGTCTGCTTTTAGTTCCATGTTTGAAGCCATGAATTCAAGTCATCTTTAATAAAACTAAAGAAGCTATAAAATCCTCCCACTTGGAAGATTCTCTTGATTCGTATTTTCTTTCTTTTTTACTGGATGCATTTTAAGGGTTATACAATATAAACTGGTATTACAAATGCAATTTCAGAGATAGAGGCAAGCACAAATATGTATGGATGTGCCCATGATTGGTATGCAGTGGGATGTTGTTGTTGCTATTGTTTGAGAAGAATAACCCAGTAACTCACTTTTAATTTGAAAAGGTATTAGCCAGAAATATGTATAAAAATAGTACTGTGTTGATTCAAGATCTTTCAAGCAGTGGGTGGAAAATTGACACATTTGGCTTGGCTAGCATGCAATTTATTGTGCTGGAATCTGAATAGAAAATTAGGGACTAGGCATGTGTCTCAATTGCCAAACTGTCCCATCACGTAGAATGATCAAATTTGCTTTGGGAGAATACAATAACATTTAGCTTTCAGTTGTGTAATTAGCTGTAACTTCTACAGAGATGGATATAATAAATTGCTCAGAAGGAGTTGTATTTTAAATTAAATAGATTCTGCCTTCCTATGATAATCCCTTTTCATCTAGAATAGAATAGAATAGAATAGAAAGCATTAGAGAGCAGCCAAGGCAGCTGTCATCATCGCCACCTTGAATACTTTGAGAAAGTAGCTGTCAGTTCCTTGATCTAGAGACTGCAGTTAAAGAAATGCAGACATTGAGAGTGGAATAAAACTGCAAAGAACCATGAGTTCTTATGTTCAGTATTTATTGACTATTCATTCAACACTGCATTCATTCAACACTACAGCATTCCTAATGGTTCTATCTTCTGTTAAGATTTCTGAAATGGGGAGCCTACTATAGACATTTCTCAGGGAATTTTTTTCTTTTCTCCATCAGAGTTAATTATTAGAATGATCTAATTTTATGCATATACCTCTATCAATTAGCATAGAGGTGTATACATAAATTTGCATCATATAGAATCCAAATATAAGATATTTGATTTGATTTGCATCCAAACATGGTGAAGAAGGAAACTTTCCGTAGGAAACATTCCTATCTTTTAAATTCAGCTGCATTATCTGATGGAGATGCATAAATATAGACATTGTAATTTGTAAATTACAACTAATGGCTTTGTATATTATATGAGCTATTAGTTGTGGTTCATTCAACAAACCAAGCAAATTTTGGCTGAATGCAATGCACAAGGCTAGCTACAGTGCTTTTTAAAATCTTTGAACTATCTAAATAGCATCAGAGTTCATTTAAATGATGCATAAAATGATGAGAATAATCAAGTGAGCTAGAACTACTCCCATGTTCATTGCTGTCCTTCTGTTGGAAGAAAATAGTTGCAAAATCATTTAGAATCTTAATTTTACAGTTCTTTTTAGTAGCTACTTAAGAGGATAGGAAGGTGTATGGGTATTTGTTCCCACACTCCATAATTGCAGATATCATTTATTTATGTCTTGATTGCATGTATATCAGTGGCATATTTAATGTTCCCTTTTTCTTCTTCTCCTTCAAACAGCCTTTCATGATAGGTTGGACTGAGAGGAAGTAAGCAATGACTGAGTAAAAACTTGGTTGTCTGGTTCAATACCTTTCCCATTACAACATACTGGCATTCTCATTTGAATGCCTAAATAAGCTTTGTAAGGTATTTAGTATGTCTGGCTTAACTGTATTAAAATCTGTACGTTTTACATATGGTGATAGGAGACAGAAACTTTCAACATTTAGGTTTCATGATCACATTATTTAATGTTTATGACAAATGTAACCATAGAGTAACATAGTTAACCATCTGTTAACTGCATCTTAAAAGGATTTATCCAAATGTTGTGAGAGAGAGAGAAACAATTGAAAAGATTATTTGCAGCTTTCTGCCTTCAGAGACACAATTTCAGGGATATCTTGGTTTATGAAAAGTTGGCTTATACATGTTAAACTGTTTAGGTTTGTAGATTTTAGGAGAATAAATATGTCTTTCTTTTTCTAATATATTATCCAATTTAAAGAAGTACTGACAGTCCATTCACTGTTTTTTTTTCCTTTTGAACCGTGAGTTTCTGAATTGAGATTTATTATTCTTATGGTCTGTCCAACCTAAAGGAATACATTGAGTTTCCCATAGGACAATTTGCCAAGTAACTTTCTGTTCATTCCTTGAAATTTAGCAGTGGGTTGATGGTTAGTTTCAGAGAGTTACTAGGCTATATGGTGGCTGTTTTCAGAAACCAAAGCACTGACATTTCTCTGAAGTCATACATATCCTTGGGAGCTTATTTCAAGAAGCAGGAAGTGGGATTCCCCCCCCCCCCCATTATTTGGAGGATTTGAAAATTAATTCCAGAAGCTGTTCAGACCAATTTAAACCTCTGGTTGAGACTGTGAGCAATAAAACATGAGATTGTTAGGATGCATCTAAGTTTCATGTTGTTTGACATATTTTCATTTTATTCAAATAAAGATTGTTATTATAATACCATGAAAGTAGGAGAAATAACTGAAAAGATTATTTACAGCTTTCTATCTTTGAAGATATACAATTCCTAGGTTATCTTGGTTTATTGTGTTCTCTATTACTGGTAGAAAATAGCTTTGGGAACCATTGTGCTGAAAGAACAGATATGAGAACTAGCTTTGTTACCTCGGTGATGGCTGAATAGTGCTATAAGGTACAAATGGCAAGTAACCTTAGTTAAAAAAAAAATGGCAGCCAAGCTTTCTTGGCTGTGATTTGCACATAAGCCTCAAAGGCTATGACCAACTCTTTAATCATGGTTGACCAGCCAGTATAAGTGTATATATCTCACTAGGCCAAAGTAAGCAAACATGAATTGCTTTAGACAATCGGTAAATCCATTTATAAGCTTTTTGCATCTGAGTCTAGTTCCATGTAATGGGCATATTATAGTTACTCTGAGTGCAGGGGTGGAATTCAACATTTTTAACAACTGGTTCTGTGGGCGTGGCTTAGGTGGTAGGTGTGGCTTGGTGGTCATGTGACTGGGTGGACATGGCTTGGTGGTCATGTTATTGGCTGCGTGTGGCCAACTCAATATCACTCACATCGAGGCATGTGTCTCCTCCCCTGGCCTCTCATGACTGTGGGGATGCTGCAACAGTCGTAAGTGTGAAAAATGGTCATAAGTCACTTTTTTCAGTGCCACTGTAACTTTAAATGGTCATTCCACACAAGCAAAGTACCAGAAAAGGAAGAGAAAAAAAACTCCAGAGATGTTCCTGAGACAGTAAGTCTAGTCCTGCCAAAAATGTAATAAGGGTTAACGGAGAGGCAGTTTCTGTAAGCAACACCAGAATGTTTACTTACAGGATTAGGCCAGTAATTTCTTCTAACAACTGATTCTTCGAACTGCTTAGAATGTTAACAACCGGTTCTATCAAATAGGTGCAAACTGGTAGAATCCCACCTCTGTCTGAGTGATGTTCCTTAGTGAAACTGTTGTACATAACTTGAGCTCTGGAAGAGTTGGTTGAAGTTTCTTTTCTCCCCAGGCCTGATAAATCCCACAACTTCCTTGTATTTTTCTTTGTTCACTGGACTGTTGTTTAATATTAATAGAAGTATTAATATTATAAGATGCAATAATGGTAGCAATAATTTTGGTCATTCTCAACACAGTCAATATTCATGACATTGTAGGATCAAAGATAAGCCCACAAGTAAATTTTTATGCCTAAAAGCATATAGTCTAAAACAGGGGTGTCAAACTCAATTTTATTGCGGGCTGTGTGGACATGGCCAGCTTGACACCATTCACTGGATGTGGGCAACTGGGCAGGCATGGCCAACTGAGTGGGCATGGCCAGCTTGACCCCACTTCCCAAATTGCTGGCATGTTTCCTGTTCGCATTGGGTAGACCGGGCTGAAGCCATGCAGGCCAGCCCCTTACATTTTCCAGGACAGCCCTGGGGGCTGGACCTGACCACATTGTGGGATGGATTTGGCTTTGTGTTTGATACCCTGGTTCTAAAACATTATAGCAGAAAAAGACAAGTAGGAACTGAGGGAAGCAGGAAGAGCAGAGTTTTAATTTTAGACAATAAAGTTGTGGATATTTTAGCTTTAATTTTCATTAAGAACTGATTGAGGAGTATTCTTGCCAGCCTCCAATTGGCCTTGTAATTTTCAGTAAACAAATCATCAAGCTCCCTACCAGTTGTACTTCTGAATTTTTAGAGTTTTTTTACTTCCTCCTGTCATGAAACATAAAAATAAATGTTTTCCTCTGTGAATTGAGTTATTTGGTTTAACAACAGCCAAAGAAGCTTGAAGTTTACTAATGTCCCAGAATTTGCTCTGTGGTGCATCTCACTGTCTCAGTTTATGACAGCACTTATAGAATAAAGAGAAGGGAAAGAGACCATTGAGTTGGGAATTACACATTTCTAGTGGAGATTGACAGGATTGCATTTATTTCTTCTAATCTCCTTATTTCTTTTTTCTACCTTAGAATATAAGAAAAAATATGGTGAAGAGCATGGCTCATGTCAGGCTGGAATAGCAGGTTTCTTCACAGAGGTGAGTGGTGCAGCATTGTGAGAAGGCTTCAGTATGGAACAAAAAGTTTGTTTGCCTTTAAAATTGATTAGTTATATACACATATTATATGCATACTTACCATCACATTATTCCCTTTCAGGATAAACAATGTAATATAGAGAGAGACGAAAGAACCCCATACTCTTTCAAGTAGCTTCTACATCTGCTTTCTTCATTCTCTTTTCCAGATTAAGCTATCCCCTTTTCTTAAGGCTTGTTCTTCCTGCTATCATCTGCTTTCACTCTTGTCTTATTTCTTTTTATTTTTATAATGTCCATTTTTCTCCCAATATCCACCTTGACATGTCAAAAAATGGCTTGTCCCAATTCAGTACCTAAAATAATCATTGATTCTTCACTAATTTTCTCAACTTTGTATTATAAAATCTAATTTCAGTCATGCTTTTATATTTATGTTAATTCCTTTTTCATGTACATGTATGAAAAGAAGGCATGTTTAAACCATGTACCTGAAACAAATCTTTCTCTAGACAAATATTCAGCAATCGACATTCATTTTTGAGTTCCCAAATGATACAATAGCTTTTTCTTTACTTTCTCATCTCATTCCTACCCATCCATTCCTGTCATATAATAGATTAATTATTTCCCCAGATTTCATTAATTTAGAATGTTGCACAATTTTTGAAGCAAAACCTATATATTTTTTGCATTAACACCATTCTCCAGCAACCCCACCCCCCATAAAACTATTGCCAGCTGTGGATTCGCACTTAAAAAAAACCTAATATAGCAATTTGTATGATTCCAAATATTATGTTCTATGACCAGTGGTGGGATTCAATTTCTTTTATTACAGGTTCTGTGGGTGTGGCTTGGTGGGCGTGGCTATGTGGTCATGTGACTGGGTGGGCATGGCTATGTGGTCATGTGACTGGGGGGCCAAAAGATAGAAACTGACTTTCTGGAGCAGGGGGTTGGACGAGATGACTTCCAGGTACCTTCCAGGCCTGGATTGCTGTGCTGTTTCAAAGCATCCTCTGAAGCTGCCTCTAGTGTCAAGGTTTGTGGTCCTTCCTTCTTCTCCTTTTTCCCTCCCTCCCTCCTTTCTTTCTTTTTTCTTTTTCTTTTTTCTCCCTTCCTACCCTTTCTTTCTCCCTTCCTACCCTTTCTTTCTCCCATTCCTCCCTCTTTCTTTCTTTTTTTCTTTCGCAGCACCCCCCTGTGCCCTGTTTTTGGCCTAGTGGGTCTCAGGGAAGCCTCCTGGGAGCAAAAACGGGGCACATGGGGGCTGCACAGCACCCTCCTACGTCCTGTTTTTGGCCTAGTGGGCCTCAGGGAAGCTGCGTGGGTGCTAAAAAAAGAAGCATTTTGAAGCAAGGTGGGGGATCAGCTGTGCCACGTTATTTAGTTAGAAAGCAAGAAATCCCACGATTTCCTACTTTCTAGCTGATCTAAATTGCACGGCACAGCTGATCATCACCCATCTGATCATCAGAAATACCAGTTAGGCAGAACCAGTAGCACTTTTTACTACCGGTTCAATTGAACGGGACCGAACTGGTAGAATACTAACACTGGTTCTGACATATATTTTAATTCTAACATTCATATTTTTATAGTTACTTTATTAAATTTCAGAATCAAATATTAAAATACAAATTTTATATTAAAGGAAAAGGGAATAACAAAGTTACAGTGACAAAAAAATAAATTTATAACAAAAATAACTTTTGATTTTTTTTTATTCCACAAATAATATTAATAAAACAACCTCTTTCTATATTTAAATAATACTAATCTTTAAAATCCACATTCTGATACCACTATTCCTACATTATTCTGCTCTTAATTCTAATCTCACACATAATAAATTGTCAAATGTAAATAAGCTTATTTATTTATTTATTTTATTTGTTTGTCAAATATGTACAAGGTAACAAGTATAGGTATCAACATAACACATGAACAAAGGAAGTGTATACAGATAAATGGGGGCAGTAAGAGAGGGATAGTAGGCACAGTGGTGTGCATACCCCCTTTAAGGACCTCTTAAGAATGGGGTGAGGTTCACGGTAAACTGAGATTGAAGCTCTTGAGGATTTGAGGCTGTAACAACGGAGTTGGATAGAGCATTCCAGGCTTTGACCACTCTGTTGCTGAAGTCATAACTTTCTACAATCGAGTTTGAAGCGGTTTACCTTGAGTTTGAATTGATTGTTTGCCAATATATTATTGTGGTTGAAGCTGCAGAAGTCATTGACAGGCAAAACATTGCAGCAGAAAATTTATTTTATTTTATTTTATTTATTTATTTTGTCAAACAATTATTAGATAACAGTTATAAGTATAAACATGGTTATAAATACATGAAATGGATACGAATAAGAAAAAAAAAGAAACAATAGGACAGGGATGGTAGGCACGTTTTGGTGCACTTATGCACGCCCCCTACAGACCTCTTAGGAAAGGGGTGAGGTCAATAGTACACAGTCTAATGTTGAAGATTTGGGGGTTTGGGGAAGAAACCACAGAATCAGGTAGAGTATTCCAGACATTGACTACTCTGTTGCTGAAGTCGTATTTCCTGCAATCAAATTTGGTGCAGTTTATCTTTAGCTTGTATCTATTTTGTGCTCTTGTGTTGTTTTGGTTGAAGCTGAAGTATTCATTGATAGGTAGGACATTGCAATATATAATTTTATGTACTATACTTAGATCAAACCGAAGGCAGCATAGTTCTAGGTTATCTAGGTCTAAAATTTCAAGTCTGGTGGTATAAGGTATTCTGCTATGAGTAGAGGAGTGGAGGACTCTTCTCATAAAATATTTCTGAACTTTCTCAATGGTGCTAATATCAGATACGTAATGTGGGTTACAGACTGATGAGCTGTATTCGAGTATTGGTCTAGCAAATGTTTTCTATGCTCTAGTTAGTAGTGTGATATTACCAGAGAAAAAGCTACGTAGGATTAGGTTAACAACTCTTAATGCCTTTTGGGCTATGTAGTTACAGTGGGCTCTAGCACTTAGATCATTTGAGATGAGTACTCCAAGGGCCTTGACAAAGTTTTTGTCATCAACAAGGTCTTGACTATTTTATTTCCTAATTTTTTTTGCCACTATGTAAGATAGAGCATTTATTTGTTGAGATTTGAAGTTGCCATTTGTTTGACCATTCTGACACATAGTCGAGGTCTTTTTGAAGGGTAGCAGCATTGTCAGTGGTGTTGAATAGCTTTACATCATCAGCAAAAAGAATGCAGTTGCTCTTAATATCATCACAGAGGTCATTAATATAGAGTATGAAGAGAGTTGATCCTAGAACACCACTGTTGACAGGTACAGAATTTGATAGGATGCTCCCAATTTTAACCATTTGTTGCCTATTTGACAGGAATGCTTCTATCCAGTTATGCAGGTATCCAGAGATACCATAAGACCTGAGTTTTAGGAGTAGTTTGTCGTGTACCACTGAATCAAAGGCTTTACAGAAGTCTATGTAAATTGCATCAAGTTGTGTAGTCCTTATGATTTTACAGTGCAAGAGTTGCAGATTACAGGACAGTTTCCTTCTGAAACCAAACTGTTTGTTAGAGAGTATATTGTTTGTCTCTAAGTGGAGGATAATGGATTGGTTAATAATTGACTCCATGATTTTACAGGTGACGCAGCATAAAGAGATTGGTCTGTAATTTTCAACTAGGCTGGTGTCTCCCCTTTTGAGGATGGGAATTACTGTGGCTAGCGACCATAGATTTGACAAGGAGCTGGTCCTGAAAGATTTTTCAAAGATTATGCTTATAGGTTCGGCAATTATATAGTATAATTTTGTGTACTATGCTTAGATTGGACTTCAGGTGGCACCATTCTAGATTGTCCAAGCCCAAAATTTCAAGCCTGGAGGTATAGGGAATTCTATTGTGAGTAGAGGAGTAGAATACTTTTCTCGAGAAATACCTCTGAACCCATGTGTGTGTGTGTATAAAACAAAACAATATATCTATAGTCAACTTCAATCTAATTCTCAAATTACAAAGTCAAATGTTGATTTGTCTTGTCAGAAATTGTACAGTGGTCTGCAAGTCATAAAAAATGAAAAGTCATTCATGAAAAAAATGAAGTCAAATTATCATTCCATAATAGTTAGCTGCATTACTTTCAAACTCTGTTCTTTCAAGGTGGGTATATATTTTTCTTTCCAACTATGGATGTATAGGAACTTGCTGTCAATGTCATTTATAAAGTCCCATGTTTTTCTTTCCAACTGCTTTTCTGTCATTCCTAAAAGATCCATTTTCATAAATTTTCATCAATCATCATAAATATCTGATTCCAAAATTAACTTTTCTACAGCTCCACCTAATATGATGAAAGCATCTTCAGTTTGATTACATTTCCAATATTTGTTAAGATTCTCTTATATATCTTGTACAATTTATCTGGAGTGGAATACCATATATCATTTATAAAATATATATTCATTTACTCCCTCTCTGTAGGGCAGGGGTGTCAAACTCAATTTTATTGAGGGCCAGATCAGCACTGTGGTTGTCCTCTGTGGGCCAGGAGGGCATGGCTAGGGAAAGGAGTGTGGCCAGTGGAGCATGGCCCACTTGACGTAGCTTGTGTGGGTGGTGCCTGTGGATTTGGGAAGGAATCCAGGGGTCTCTGATGGGTGGGGTGGTGGGTGGGAGACTTGTCCTGCAGGATGAGGTAAGATGAGGCAGGAGGCAGGGTAGTTACAGCCAAAAACCTGTCGCTCGCCACCCTTTTTGTGCAGGGGGGAAAATGGTTTCCAGTTGTAGATGGAGCTTGCTGGCCCATCAGCTGGCACATGCTGTTGCTCCAGAGCTCGCTGGCAGCACCGAGATGCCTATCCAAGAAGCAAGTGGAGGTTATGGGAATGAACATGATGCAGACTGTTGGATGCGCTTACTCTGTCTGGTGGTCTGTTTTGGTTTGCGGTTGGAGAGCAGGTCACTACTGGTCATCTCCTCAGCCCCCTCATGGGTCTT